TGGTGTGGGGCAGCCGCTACAGGCAGGGGGCTCCGGGCGGATGACAAGTGGTCCACATCCCGCGCAGCGTGGGGTTTGCCCGCTGGTGGCTCTGTTTGCCTTCTCACTGCCTGTCTGGGGATAGAACTTGGAGGGAAAGCCTTACAAACAGGTCGTTGCGGAATGATTCTGTGTCTGGGACGAAGGCCCCGGGTGTTAGGCCTGTCCTTCTGACAGAGAACTGGGGAGTGAGGCTGGGCACTGGCCTGCTGCCTTCTGACTGTCAGCTGGCTTTCGGGAGACAGCGAAGGGGGTCGGCTCTGCGCTTGTGGTGTTTTTGCAAATTCATTTATTTCTCCCAAGAGCGAGAGAAAGAGCACGAGAGGTGGCACCCTATGTAGGGCCCCCACGACCCCCAGCCTGCCCAGGAGCACTGCCAGGCCTGCCTGTGTGCCTGGGGTCTCCTGGGTGCTGCAGCCTCATGGGGCTTCAGCCTCTGCTACAACCCTGCAGCCCCAGCTGCGCTGCTCGAGCTTTTACAGGTGTGTTGAAATTACATGCCATCTCCTGCCTCACCTGCCCCTTCCTCGCCAGGATTCCCTCTGCCCATTCCAGGCCCACACGTGCAGCCAGGGCATGGCCGCAGGGGACCTGGCCAGTGTGCCTGGCCAGCGGACAACCCAGGTCGCAGACGAGTGTGAGCTCGTCGTGAGCCCCGACTGCAGAGCTGCCACCCACCAGACCTGAGCTCCGTCCCTACTGCCGCGTTTGCGGGCGCCCTGTTGCCGCCCGGTGGCGGGTGGCGGGTGGCGGGCTCTGGCTTGGGTGCAGGAGGGCCTTGACGGGCTTGCAGGAAAGCAGTTGGGGGTGCGTGCTTGCTGGCAAGGGTGGGTGTGGAAGAGAAGCCGGGTTTGCTGGTGTGTCCCTAGGGGAGCCCCTTGTGGAACGCAGACGTGTCACGTGGCCGTGTAAGAGGCAGCAAGCACCGTCAGTGGCGTCAGGACACGAGGGCCCATGAGAGCAGGTTCAGCTGGGCCGTGGCCAGCCGCTCTGGCCCTCTGTGGAAGACCGTGACACCAGCGCGCGTCGGGGCTCAGAGGGCTCAGAGGGCCTCTCCTCCTTGGCATGCGGGGGCGGCCAGAGGCTCTGCTCAGAACTGTTGGGAACAAAGGCTGCCCACCCCACGGTGCTCCTGGGCCCGAGGGGAGAGCTGGGGGGCAGGGCAGGCCGAAGCCCTGGGGCCCGCCAGCGCTGTGCTTACGGCATCACTGTGTGGGGGTGTCAGGACAGACGCGTGTGCTCACAGGGTGGGCGAGAGTGCGTGCATGTGTGTGGAGGGCGGCCTGGCCGTTCTGTGCTGGTCCCACTTCTCGGCGCTCAGGCGAGAAGCTGCGTGTGTGCCCGTGTGCGCATGTGCACCTGCGGGAGTGCGCCTGTGTCCAGGTGCGTCTGTGCGTGTGCATAGCCGCTGACCGTGCAGGAGCCACCTGTGCCGAGGCGCGTGGGCGGAGGGGTCTGGGGCCAGCGTGGGGTCTGCAGGTGTCCCCTCCCTGCCCAGGTCAATGAGAACTTCGCTGTCACCCTGATCGCCGAGCAGCCTGTGAGTGAGCTGGAGAGCCGGGTGGTGTCATGCGACGGCGGCGGGGGAGCCCTCGGCCACCCGAGAGTGTACATAAACCTGGTATGTGCCCTCCGCATGTCTGTCCTGCCCTCACAGCCCTCGGTGGCCTCACGGCGCCCACTGTGCCGGCATGCCCCTCAGGGCGGCTGTCCGGGCTCCGAGGCGGCCGCGGGAGCCTCGTTCCGGTGCACACCTGCCCGTGTGCCTAGTCGGGCAGCGTGGGGATCCTGCCGCCTCCCAGAGCCCTAGGCCTGCCCTTCTGCTCCGGCCACCCTCCTGCCGGCCTGGTCTGCTCGAGCTGCCCGTGAAGGCGAGAAGGACAGAAAGGCACCTCTAGGTGTGGTGCGCCTGGTCCTTCAGCATCCTCACAGGGTCCCCTCTGTCCCCATCTCCCTCCTGCTTCCTCACAGCGTCCCCTCTGTACCATCTGGGTCCTCACCTCTCACAAGGACGCCAGTCACAAGGCCTGGCCCTCTGGTCACCTGAGTTATCTTTGTTACACCTGAACTCCGGGTGTGGGCATGCGGGACCCCAGGGCCTGGGTCCCCACACAGCACGCGGGTGTCATCCCATGTGTGGAGGGGAGGGTGAGGCGCACGAGGGGGTAGTTCAGCCGGGGGAGGGGAGGGGAGGGGCAGCGCAGACGTGGGCGTGGGTGCAGAGGACAGTGAGTGGCCACAGGGCCTCTGTCATCAGAGGCAGCAGGCAGGGTACTTGCTGCCCCTGCTGAAGCTGGGGGTGAGCCGTGCTCCCCCCGCACGACATCTCCCCCA